TCAATGGATAATGAGTTGATGACCTCACTAAAAGAAAACAATTTTTGATAAATTAAGTGAAATAATTCATACCAAATATGAGAGTCTAAAATGTGGACTTGGTTCTTGGAATCAAACTCCTAAAAAAGAAACACTACCCCTTAAAATGAAAATATTTTGTGTTTCTAAAAAAAAAATCTAATTGGACAAACATATTCATGATTTGAAGTTTATGAATTCTGATCACGGTCTCAAGTTAATATAAAATAATAAATTAGGTTCATAATAACCTTTTTTCATAGATTTACTAATTTTCTTAATTTATATATACAAAGTCTTAAACAAAACTATTAAATTTGCGTGAACTTCTTTAAAAGGTGTTTGAGGTATGTACCTATACAACGTAGTTCTATTGGTTCATTTTATTAAAGTTATTGTAGGTAAAAAAGAAGAAAATAATTTTATAATTTTAATTATAAAAATATTTATCTAAACTACCCTTTGATAATTCACTAGCCAAAAGTGAGAGTAAATTCAATAAAATTAAAATAATTAACAAATGACTTTTTTTTCATTAATAAAACATCAAATATGTCAAACAAATTCAGTTGATCAAAAAACACTGCAGATATAATATCTAATTGTGAAATATTATTGTCAAAAGTAGCAACGTCTGCTCACACTAATTTAATTTTCGACTCTTTTTATAATATAGTCTATGCTCAATATATATTATATTTAAATAAATAGTCAATGATAAACATATTTTTGTCCCCTCCACTTTAAGCTAAACTTATGTCAAACAACTACTCTCAACCCTACCTCGATTTATTTGATATTTTTTATTTTTTAAAATTTAAATTATGTAAATTTTAACTGATATTTTATATTATATTTTTTTTATAAAAAAAACATAAGTTATAATTTTTGAATGTTTAAATTCAAATTTAAAATATTTAGTTGATTGTATTCAATTTAATTAACTTCAAAATTAGTTAAATTAACCTTTGGTTAAAGTGTTAGAAATAGTAATGGGGATTAGATCATAGGATTGAGAAGAAAAAGAGGAAAAGAAAATGCAGAATATATATGCTACTAACTATCTTCTCAGAATATGTTCATTTTTAAACTTCTCGTTCAATGATACGTTGGGTTTTTCTATCTTTATTTTCTAGAATATTGCTTTAATCTCGTTAAAAATAGAGTTGGCTAGCTATCGTTATATCTTTTATAGCCTCTGTAGAGTCCCAACGTAATATATAACAAACACATGAAATTCACTCATTTAATTTTGAAATTTCATTAATGGCATAGAGAAAAGTCCCAAAATAGTCCCTCATCTTTGGATTAAGACTCAAAACCATCCTTGAGTTTTTACATGGAGCATTAATATGTTTGCAATATTGGTGCACTTTTGTTCCTTCTCCAAAATTTTATCTATTTTTTAACATTGATTTTATCTATAATTTATGTATGGAATGTTCAATCGTTATTTTATATATTTAGTAGAAATAATAACTCCGTGTGGGAGAATGTGAGAAGAAAAACACCTTATTTTGTTTAGTAGAAATCGTATTGCAGGTAAAGTCGAGAGGTTCATCACAACGATTTCACGTGCAATAGTACATTTTTTTCTTTTCTTACAACGTCATATGTTAAAATGTTTTTAGCTTAGCTGCAGTAATATTTCTCCTGAACAGAACAATGTGTTCTTCTTCTCACCTCCTCTCACATAGAATTATTATTTCTACTAAATATATAAAAAGACGATTGGGCATTCCTTACATAAAATTGTGGACAAAATTAACTTTAAAAAATATGCAAAAGTTTAGGGGAGGACCAAAAGTGCACCAATATTACAAACATGAGGGACTATTAGTGCTCCATGTGAAAACTCAAGGATTACTTTGAGTCTTAACCCAAAGATGAGGGACTATTTTGGGCCTTTGCTCGAATAAATACAAGATAGTTTGTTTTAAGTGTAAGAATATTGGTGGTCCAAATGTTATAATCAGAGACGAACATATAATACTAGATATGGATATCAATGTATTTCGATGATTCTATATCTATATCAAAAAATATATTAGATATATACAAATTTTTAATTACATGACACTCAATGACTAAACTGACTCATAAGTTCGATTACAAATTTAGAATCATAAACTTCAAATTCCGGCTCATTCTTGGCACACATATAATACCACTATGACACGCTTGGAAAGAGAGTAATCGAATTGCATATGGTCTAATATCAAAGCAAAAAAAAAAAAAAAAAAAAAAAAAATAAATAAAAAAAAAAAAAAAAAAAAAAAAAACAGATCAATGAAGAAGACCAAGTCATGTTTGGCCCACAAGATTATTTTTTTTAAAAAATAAATTGTTTGGTTACCAAAACCATTAATTTTCTTCATAAATTAAAATAATTCCAAGAAATTTAAAAGAATAGAGATTATTTTCTGTTTCCATATCTAACGATACCAAACCAATAATTTATAGGCATAAATAAGCTACAAATTTTTGAATATTAAATTTATTTTAGTTTATCTTATTAAAATATCTCCATTTTTTAAATTTAAAATGTTCAATATATTCATCCTCCAACCACTATTAAGATATAAGAATTAGCATCAGATAAATTATATAGCTAAATATCAAAATTTCTCGCATACTAATTTTATTTAGTGACGGATTCACGATGAAATATCTAAAAATTTGTTAACTGAATTATTTAGCTGACAAATTTTCGATGAACTTCATAGCTCTACATATATACTTGTGTATACATGTGAACTATAATTCTCTTGGATTAATTTCTGGAAAAAATTTAATATATATGTAAAATTACTAATTATTACTCCAATGTATATTCTGCACACACAAAAAAACAATTCAAATGGTTTAGTTTATTAAAATGATTTATTTAGTAGCAAATTTAATATCATTTTGAAGCCTGCAAGGTCATGGATTTGGACCAAATTTCACCAATATTTTAAAAATGAGAAAAAGGAGAATTAATGTGAAAACTAGCACAGCCTGACACGGCATAGGAAATAAAAAATTATTTAGTGTCGAATATTCAAATTTGAGTTCGACTAATTTGACACAAACAAGAAAGTGATTCATTTCAAAAAAATAAAAAGTGAATTAATTTAATAATTAATCAAAATAAATATATAGCTTTTAATATTTTGTAAAAAAATTAACTATAGCAATATTGATAAAAGAAAATACTGCGTAAAATTAATTGAGTGACTTTTCTTCTATAAAATAAAACTGATTGATTTTTTAATATAATTATCATTAATTAAGTTATCAAGAACAAGCCACTAAAATGATGGTTTTAGGCTCCCAATGTTTTTATTTTATTCTGTGTGTGTATTCAACTTGAATGTTTTTTTACGAGAAAAATACTTTTTGGTAAGATTCTTTTCTTTATTCTAAGACTTTTAATTTAAAAATTAATAAATTATAAAATAAAATTTTAAAAAATATATTAAATAATCCGTGAAGGACGTGGGAATTATTTTTTCTATATTATATTTATATATATGCTTACTCTCGTTGACCTTTAAGTTTTAATTAGTTTGTTCATAAACTTTTGGACTACATGATTTATTTATTTTTCCCATGCACTAAATTACTTTCTTGTTTTTTCAATTTCTCATTTGGGTTCATATTTATTTTGGGGTTTAATTAATTTAGTCATTTAAATTCGTTTTGAGAAGTTTATTTTGAAGGTAAAGCTCTTCATATCAAAGAACTTTATATATATGACTCGAACTTAAAATATTTAATTAAGGATAAATGAATCTTTATTTATATCTACACGTTAATAGTTTCATCTCCTTTTTTTCGTTTTAGAAAATTAATGTATATAATTTAGATAGTATATGATTATAGTGTTGTTAAATATCAACTCTTCTTTCGAGATACCAGTAAGGGTGATCAAGTTGATTGAGCAGATGATCTTTCAAATTGAGAGTTTTAGATTCAAATCATTTTACATGCATGCTTTTTCAATCAAGGTCGTTCGGAGAGCTACCTTATATGCACACCTGAATAATAGCGAATACAGATTTTCTTCTAAAATAAATAAATAAATAAATATCAATTCTTTCTTAACTGATTTGATCTAACTTGGCCTACCCACTATAAATTGCAATGAGCCAATTTGACTTTGAAAAGTGGGGTCTAATATAAACCCCTCTCCTCCAAGTGGAGTTTAATTAAGTTAATCATAGATATATATTGCCTAAAATGTTTTTAAAGAAAATATATTTTAATAAACTAATTGTTATAATGATTTTGCACACAATGATTCATAAGCACCTTTATAATTTTAAAGATTATACTAACATCAATCGGCAAATTAAAATAAGTGATGTGGTCAGAATTATAATTTATAAGGGTTAGTTAATTGATATCTAATGCAAATTTGGACATTTATTTCTAACCATTTTTTGAGATAAAATTTGAATTTTTTTGACTTTATAACAAAGTGGACGAGTCACATTTTAAAAAAAATATATACATCTAGACACCTCAAATTTGGCCTCTGCTGAAAAGTTAACACTCCAATTTTGAATATGCACATCTAGATACTTTAAATTTGGTCTCAACTGACAAGTAAATCCTCCAATTTTGAATATACATATTTAGACACTTCAACTCGTTTTCATTATGTCAGCTGAACACTTCAACTTACAAAATAATCATCTAAACACCTCGAAAATTCACGTGTCTTGTCACCGCACCTAATGTCCACAAGACACAGTAAAAATAAGTTGAAGTGTTTAACCATCCATTAAAACCAAATTAAAATATCTAAATATATATGTATTACGCCTAATTAAAATAACGATATATATATATATATATATATATATATATATAAGAATCAAAACGTGGAGGCTTGTGGATTAGGTGTCAAAAAAAATAAATACTTATCTCCCTTTCCATTTTCCTAACAAACAATTTTTTTAAAAAATAAATCTTTATAGACAACAAGAAGTACTACTACATAAGCTAACAAATACCCCATTTTTTGAAGTCAACAATGACAAACATTAACACCAAAAAACACATTTTTCATCTATGTTCTTGCTTCTACTTTCTTCTAATTTCACAAATCCTCGCAATAGCAGCAACAACAACAGATAATACGATAACGATTACAAATCCCCTTACGATATCGAAAACTTTAGTCTCTCAACAAAAAAAATTCGAATTAGGATTTTTCACTCCTGGTGGTCCGAATTCAGACAAATGGTACGTCGGAATATGGTACAAAGAAATCAAAGAAACGACGATAGTTTGGGTTGCGAACAGAGAAAACCCCGTCACCAATTCATCGTCTCCCCCTGTGTTAAAAATAACACAAGATGGACGTCTTGTTATTGATAATAGAGATGGAAATTATACGTTGTCATTAAATTCCGCGAATAATAATACTACATTTATCGCTAAGTTATTGGATTCAGGTAATTTCGTCGTTCTAACAGAGAAAGACGAAATTATGGTGTGGCAGAGTTTTGATTATCCAACGGATACTCTGTTACCCGGGATGAAACTTGGGTGGGACTCGAAAACGGGGTTTAATCGGAATATAACGTCATGGAAATCGCCATTTGATCCTTCTCCGGGTAATTATACGTTTAAACTTGATGTTAATGGTTTGCCTGAAGCTTATTTGACAAACAGAGATACAATTTTCTATAGAAGTGGACCTTGGAATGGTGTTGGATTTAGTGGTGTACCAGAAATGAAGCCAACAGATATTATAGTTTTCGAGTTTCAGATGAATAAGGATGAAGTTTACTACACTTTTGAGGTATGTTCGTCTCTTCACGTATGAGTCTGATTCTTTTTTAGTAATGACAGGTAGCGTTATGTTGAGTCTCATGCTAGTGGTGGGATCGAGGCAATCTTCACTTCATGAACAAGTGTCGAAAGAATCAAAACGTGGAGGCTTGTGGATTAGGTGTCAAAAAAAATAAATACTTATCTCCCTTTCCATTTTCCTAACAAACAATTTTTTTAAAAAATAAATCTTTATAGACAACAAGAAGTACTACTACATAAGCTAACAAATACCCCATTTTTTGAAGTCAACAATGACAAACATTAACACCAAAAAACACATTTTTCATCTATGTTCTTGCTTCTACTTTCTTCTAATTTCACAAATCCTCGCAATAGCAGCAACAACAACAGATAATACGATAACGATTACAAATCCCCTTACGATATCGAAAACTTTAGTCTCTCAACAAAAAAAATTCGAATTAGGATTTTTCACTCCTGGTGGTCCGAATTCAGACAAATGGTACGTCGGAATATGGTACAAAGAAATCAAAGAAACGACGATAGTTTGGGTTGCGAACAGAGAAAACCCCGTCACCAATTCATCGTCTCCCCCTGTGTTAAAAATAACACAAGATGGACGTCTTGTTATTGATAATAGAGATGGAAATTATACGTTGTCATTAAATTCCGCGAATAATAATACTACATTTATCGCTAAGTTATTGGATTCAGGTAATTTCGTCGTTCTAACAGAGAAAGACGAAATTATGGTGTGGCAGAGTTTTGATTATCCAACGGATACTCTGTTACCCGGGATGAAACTTGGGTGGGACTCGAAAACGGGGTTTAATCGGAATATAACGTCATGGAAATCGCCATTTGATCCTTCTCCGGGTAATTATACGTTTAAACTTGATGTTAATGGTTTGCCTGAAGCTTATTTGACAAACAGAGATACAATTTTCTATAGAAGTGGACCTTGGAATGGTGTTGGATTTAGTGGTGTACCAGAAATGAAGCCAACAGATATTATAGTTTTCGAGTTTCAGATGAATAAGGATGAAGTTTACTACACTTTTGAGGTATGTTCGTCTCTTCACGTATGAGTCTGATTCTTTTTTAGTAATGACAGGTAGCGTTATGTTGAGTCTCATGCTAGTGGTGGGATCGAGGCAATCTTCACTTCATGAACAAGTGTCTATTTCTTATCATGGTATCAGAGTTAGACTTGTCTGTTCAATTCTTCGTTTATATGATGTTAGTGGGGTTAGGGGACTCTTTTGTCTTCTTATACGGTCTTGAGTAATCTTCACCTTATGAGGTAGTTTTTGGGGTTGAGTTATGTCTAACGTCTATTTTTTACATGACAGATTTATCTATGCTCTGATACCATGTTAATTTTGTAAAAACGTGTTTTTACTTACTTAATTATGTTTTTGTTAGGTGCTTGACAAGAAAATATGTTCGAGATTGTTAGTGAAGCATAACGGTTTTTTAGAGAGGTATACTTGGATTCCGACTAGTAACATTTGGAACAAATTCTGGTACGCCCCGAAGGACCAATGTGATTTATACGAAGAGTGTGGTGTTTCGGGAATTTGTAACGCGAATTTATCGCCGGTATGCAAATGTCTAGTAGGGTACAAGCCTAAAAATCAAGTGGCATGGGATTTAAGAGATGGATCAGATGGATGTATTAGATATCATGATTTGGATTGTGAAACTGATGTTTTTAACATATTGAAGAACATGAAATTGCCACAAAGTTCAAGTTCATTTGTTGATACTAAGATGAATTTGGAAGAATGTGAAAAAATGTGTAGGTACAACTGTTCATGCACGGCGTACACCACCGCAAACGTTACGGGTTCGGGTTCGGGTTGTGTCATTTGGACAAAGGAATTAGTCGATATGCGCCAATATTCGGCAGCAGAAGGTGGACAATTTCTCTACGTTAGAGCTGCTTCTTCTGACGCAGGTACATTTTTCATTTCAATCTGATGTTCGATATCTGTTTGAATTGTTATAGAAAATACGTTTTTTGTGGTAAAATAGTACTCCATTTCAAAATAATGAAAAGGTAATTTAATTTGCTTCTATAAAACTTGAATCTGAAACCTGTGGTTATTATGAAAAGAGTGCTTAATATCCTAGCGCTATTCTTAATTTAGTAGGAGAGAGTTGAGTCGAACTCAATTTAATGGAGTGGTTGAATGTTGGTAGAGATATATATGAAATTTTAATGTATTTGTTGGGTTGAATAATAATAATAATAATTGGTCTCATTTCATGAAGTTTGAACTACATATTTTTAAATGATAAAAAAATGGTCGTCTAGGCAATTTTTTACCCCTTTATTTTAGAAATTTGAAGTAATATCATGGATTGGACACGTGGAGATTCGCCACGTCACACTAGGTTGTTAGCACGCCCTTGTTGAGATTTTACAAAACTCTGAAACGATTGTGTAGATGATGAAGTTCAATATTTTATTTTAGGATATTCTGGAACAATTTTGTAGGTGATAAAGTTCGATATTTCTTTTTTAGGAGATTCTAGAACGATTGTATAGATAATGGAGTTCGGTATTTCATTTTTAGGAGATTCTAAAATGATTGTGTAGATGATAGAGTTCGATATTTCGTAATGAAAAAAAAATGCTTGTTTAAAATATCTTGTTAGTATATATTTAATGAGAGTAATTAATAGAAAAGTAGTTGGTGCTATACTTTGAAAAAACAAGAGGTTAGTACATATTATCATTACAATAAGCAAATTATAATTAATTAAAGTCCATTGACTCTTGACAAAGACTTGAAAACAGCCAACTATATATTCGAATATATATTATCTTGCATTATATTTTATTTGATATTGAGAGAGACAAAACATATTCTTTGTGGTAGGCACGTTTTAATTTTCACTTAATTTTCCTTTTTCTTTTTTTGAATTATTATGCATTGAAAAATTAAAGAAAAAAATGTAAACCAAAACATATGAAAAATACCCTCAAAAGTCCTAAATTAGTTAATTATATGGTTTATCTACTATTAGGTGTTTGAATTTTTTTTTCCTTTTTGATAAGATTGGGATGGTTAATTAGTTAGAAAATAATGCACCTACATCTCAAGCTTCTAGAATTAATTATTTTCCATTCAAAAGAAAATTCTACTAATAATACAAAGTTTTTATTCTCCCTTTGGTAAGTTAACTAAAACTGAGTTTCCTTTTTCTTTGTTATCTTATTCTTTCCTATGTATAAGCATGAGATCATATTTCAACTAGAATTTAAGTTAAGTTATATATACAAATAATATGGAAAAAAAATGCTAATAGTAACAGACATATGAATTAAAGGATAAATAAAAACACTCGATAATACACTAATAAAAAAGGTGAGTATAAAAGGTACATTTCTAACTTTATTAATTAGTTTGATGTGCACTTACAGCCTTACATGTTCACGTAAACTTAGTAGTTTTTATCCAGATTCTATAAATATATATATTAATAAATTCACTAAATATTTAGAGGGTCAGTAACCGATTTACATGAATTCAGTAGCTTTTATCCAAACCATCGTTTTCCTTCGGGTGAAGCTATAATAAGTCTGTAGGCAGGTTCGATAGAACTTAGTAGCTTTGACCTATAGTCTATATTTTTGCTTAAAAATCCACTAATCATGTATAAATTATTTATCAATAACTCAGCAAGCTATTTTTTCTAGAATTTATAATTCATAAACTTAAAATTTTAGCTCAGATTCTTATTATAAATATTCATAAACTTCAAATCTTGGATCCGATTCGTTATAAGTTAATGCTTACCTAAAAAAAGAAGGTGAGAAACGGGTTTAAAATTAAAACTTGGTCATAAAATGAACAAAGCGTGTGTAACCTTTTTAAATTTTGTATTTTGTATTGCTAACGCAAATTGTTGCGTGACATAATGAAAAATACATTAATTTTTTGCTGCTTTTATTGTTATATTTTCATGAGGATATCATATCTTTTTTTAATTATTATTTATTTTTTAAAATTTTGACAATAAATGGAAAAACTAAAATTAGTGGACAATTGGTCCTAAAAAGTTAGGTGTAAGTTCACACAAAAGATTCTTTTTGAAATGGATGAGAAGAAATCATTTTTTTGAACCCACTTTATATTCCAAAAATAGTCACTTGGCCGATTATTTTGACTTTGATTAATTTCAAATTTACATATAGTATGAGTTCTACTTTTAATTTTATTTTAACTTTGATTAATTTCAAATTTACATATAGTATGAGTTTTACTTTTAATTTTTCATAACGTTTACTTTCATATTATAAACATAAAAAATAAATACTTTTTGACAAGGACAGTCTTTGGGTCATTTGAATGGTGTACAAGTTACATTAAAATTATAATATTTAAAAATAACTAATGTATAATATTATTTAGTATATATGTATTTGACTTTACATTGGATAAATTAGTATCAACACTTATTTTCAATTTTAACCTTAGATTTTCTAAAGGACCTTGGAAGAAGAGTCTCAAGAAAGGGCATTTTGGTCATTTTTCGTATTTTATCTAGAGATTATTATCTGCATTAAAGGTTGTATAAAAATAATATCACAATTACGGTGTAACGACTAACCCCAAAATCAAACTTTCAATCACACGGAATAATATAATCTCACATTTCATCTCGGGATTGTTATCTATTATTCCAAATATCAAACGACTATAGGAATTACTAAGTTATGTAATGTGCACTAATGTTTTTGGATTCATGACAAAGGAAACTTGACCTTCCGTTCATTTGTATTTTTCGAGCAATTCACACCTAGTTCAAGTTACTCAATCGCGATAAAAAATAATTTTGTGACTTTACTGTTAAAAAAAAATACAACCTTTGATGGAAGACTCATTTTTATGTGTTAATTTTCAGCAAAAAGTGGAAATGTTGGATCTGAAGATGGTTCTGGCAAAACAAAAAGAATTGCTATGGCTACTGGAATTACAGCTGGTGTTGTTCTTGTTCTAATTGGAGTTGTAAGCATTTGCATTTTATCAAAGAGAAAAAAATTATTGGAAGGTCCAATAAGAAACAAAGCAGAACAAAGAGGTATGTTATTATAAGCCTATAATTTCGATTTCAGTATGGTATTCGATATTTACTTAAGGCATAATACATAAAGAATGCACATCTATAGACACCACGACTCCTTTACTGTGTCTTATGGACACCTGACGTTGTTGTGACACATAAATTTTGGAGATGTCTAGATGATCATTTTGTAAGTTGGAATGTACGTTCACTAGACATGATGGTGACGAGTTGAGGTGTCTAACTATACATTACTCAAAATTAGAGGGTTCAGTTGTCAGTTGAGGTCAAGTTAAGGTGTCTATCTATATATTATACAGTAACCATCTCATAATTCATATTTCTTACACTATTTTTGAACCAGGCTCTATTGAAAGAAGTCAAGATCTTCTAGTGAACACAGGCATTATTCCAAGTAAAAGAGAAATTTCTAGTGAAACAGTCGCGGACGAGTTTGAATTGCCATTATTTGATCTCAGTACCTTAGCTATGGCTACTGAAGATTTTTCTGATGCAAACAAGCTAGGCCAGGGCGGTTTTGGTTGTGTTTACAAGGTAAAGCTCATCTTGACGTTAAAAAAGCAAAAACTTATGTTGCTCGGATTGGTCAAAAATGTCATCATATCCATGTCAGATCCTCCAAAAATACATTACTTTGGAAGATGTAACACGGGTGTAGTGACATTTTTCGAGGATCATAGCAATACATCAAAAGTAGTACTTTTTTTCATTTACAAGTTAAAGCTGATCATATATCAGTAAAAAGAATATATGCTGCTCAGACAGGACAAAAATGTCGTTGCATGCACTCGTGTCAGATCCTCCAAAAATGCATCACTTTGGAGGATTGATCTAACAAGGGTGCAATGACATTTTTTGAGTATCTGAGCAATAATGAAAAACTAGTCCTTTTTTTTTTGCATTTACAATGTAAAACTCAACTAGATGTGAAAAAAACCTATGTTGTTCGGATTCTACAAAAATGTCATTGCACCCCTGATCTGACACGGGTGTTACAACATTTTTCAAGGATATGAGCAACATATGAAAAACTAGTTTTTGCCTTTACAAGGTAGACGTGAAAACAACCTATGTTGTTCGTATCCTACAAAAATATCATTACACCCTTGTCGGATCTCCAAGAAAATGCTTCATTTTTGGAGGATCTGACATGAGTGCAGTGACATTTTTCAAGATTCGAGCAACATTGGGAAAGACGGACTCTGTTTTATTGGAAAATGTGAAGACATTCAACAAAAGAACATCTTCTTTTTTTTTTATTATCAGGGAATAATAGATGAAGGTCAAGAAATAGCAGTGAAAAGGCTGTCAAAGAATTCAGGCCAAGGAGTAGAGGAATTCAAGAATGAGCTAAGATTAATTGCTAGACTTCAACACAGAAACCTCGTTCGCCTTCTTGGATGTTGCGTTGAGATGGAAGAGAAAATGTTGATATACGAATACATGGAAAATAAAAGCTTGGATTCAATCTTATTCAGTAAGTCGTTCTTATGATCAGTAACTATGTTTATGTGTGCTATTGGACTTCAAAATTAACAAATATACGCGTCTCAGATAAGCAGAAAAGCTCGCTGCTAGATTGGCAAAGACGATTCAACATTATCTGTGGGATTGCTCGGGGGCTTCTGTATCTTCATCAAGATTCAAGATTTCGGATTATCCACCGAGACCTCAAAGCAAGCAACATTCTCCTTGACAAGGAAATGATCCCGAAAATATCAGATTTTGGCATGGCACGGATTTTTGGAGGCGATGAGACCGAAGGAAATACAAAGAGAGTTGTTGGAACCTAGTAAGTAGAATCACATTATTCCTTATAAATCATTCATAAAAAACACTTCGAAAAGTGTTGGTAAATCGACGTTTTTTCTCTCTTAATGTAGCGGTTACATGTCTCCTGAATACGCGATGGATGGTCTATTCTCTGTTAAATCAGACGTTTTCAGCTTCGGAGTTTTAGTGTTGGAAATAGTAACAGGGAAGAAGAACAGAGGATTTTATTTTCAGAACAATGAAAGAAACCTTCTTGGCCATGTAAGTACACCAAAATTATCACAACTTAGTCATCATTTCTAACTAAGTCGGAACAGAATTTTGAGTTTATGCGTTCTGAATTCTAAAAAAATATAGCTAATTAGTAGGTTCTCGATAAATTATTTATGCATGTTAAGTAGATTTCATAACATAACTACAAGGTTTTTACTAAAGTTGCTACTGAGTTCTGTCGAACCTGTAACTTTCTCTCTAGTTCCGCCCCTAAATGTATAATCCGCTCTGCAGGCGTGGAAACTATGGAGAGAAGGAGGAGCCTCAGAACTACTCGATTCATCAGTTGGTGAATCATTTTCTCCGTGTGAAGTAATCAGATGCATACAGGTCGGGTTATTGTGTGTTCAGGAACAAGCAGAAGATAGACCGAACATGGCAACCGTTGTATTGATGTTAGGAAGTGAAACCGCAACAATGCCTCAGCCTAAACACCCTGGTTTTTGCCTCGGAAGGAGACCTGTTGATGAACACTCGGAAACTATTTACGAAGAAACTTTCACTGTGAATCAAGTTACGATTACCATGCTTGATCCCCGGTAGAGTTAAACGTTCAGACAGATCATAGGCTTGCCCGCTTCTACGTGACAGAATAGAAATAAAGGCAAATTCCACTGATGGGAGTGTGAACATAGAGATTTCACGACGAATGAATGCAATACATGGATGATGGATCCCTGCTGGCAAAAATGTATAGATAGTACATTAGTGTTTTTTCTCCACCCGACCATATCAGGAGGATCAATAGTGTTTTAACTTACCCTCCTATAGTACATTAGTACTACGAGTGGTTAGCAATTTTCTCTTTGTACACTTACCTTGATTTTTTTTACAAAAATAATGTTTTTTTTTGGGTAGTTAATTATAGAAATAGTCTTCTTTCTCATTTTATGAAATTGTGAAGTTCCAATATAGATAAGTCTTTTTTTTTTTAAAAAAAATGATCTTTTGCTATGTACATAATATAAACCTTGTTATATGAATAAAAAGATTGAAATGTTCCTTTAATATTTCTTGATCATAGATTTCAAAATTACATGTATATATAATGTCAACTTTTAACTACTTTTATGATTCAAATTATTGATATTGTTGAGTACTTTTTTGTTGCATACTGAATATGTATTATAACATTAGTAATTTAATACTTGCACTTTTTTTTAAGAATCTTGGCGATTTTTAAAGTAATATATGATTGAAGAGACATTAATTCGGAAGAAGAAAAACAAGAAGTTTAAAATAAAATAGAATACTGCAGCAAAGTGAGAGGTAAAACAAAACACAATAAATTTTAACTAAGGAAGACTCGATGAAGTCGCCCTACTCTATTTGTTATCCCGTAATTTTCTAGTGTTTACTTCTTTATATTTTAAAAGCCTTTGATGAAAAAAATCCTCCCTCCGCCACGAATAAATAGGACCCATTTGGCCATAGATTTTCCAAGTAATATTTGGAGAAAAATTTGCCAAATAGTGTTTGTCCATACAATTTGTCATTATTTGGCAAATATCCCAAATTCCCAAATACTTAGTTTTTCTATTATTTGGGTCAAATCTCATTATTTGGGATCTTTTAAAAATTGAAATTTTACACCAAACTTTTATCTTTTACAAAAACACCCTCTATAGTAGTTGTTTGCATTGTATTCCATAGTGTTTTACGTGAACACCAAAATAGTGATGAAATATTCAATGAATAAGAAAGTGATGATATGGTTGTTGATGAAAATGATGAACAATCGGCTCAAAGTAACAAAGTCATGTGCTTTGTTTACTTCACGATGTATGAAATGATGCTTGTTGCACTCACTCCAAACTACCACATTGCTCTAGTGTCATGGACACTACTTGTTATTTGTTGCAACGAAGATCCAATTGACTTGTAATACAAACTTATGGTTAGTTTTGATAGTTTTTAAAACTTATGGGTATAAATTCCAAACTATCACATTGCTCCAATGTCACGGACACTACTTGTTATTTGTTGCAACGAAGATCTAATTGACTTGTAATACAAACTTATGGTTAGTTTTGATAGTTTTAAAAACTTATGGGTGTAAATCATATTTTTCTAAAAAAGTGAAATATGTTTCCCAAATACTATGGCCAAACACATGGTGAAATTTCACTCAAATAATATTTGCCAAGAATATTTGGAAATCTATCGCCAAACTCTAGCTAAATTTTACATACACCATTATCAGCCCCATTAATATTGATTGTGATGTACTTCAAACTTGCCTCTCCATTTGATAACACGAACATTGATTTTCATCCACATTAGTTTGCTTGGGTAAAGAATGGACAAACAAACAAGGCTGAACTTTCTACTTCATAAAGATATGACACCTGAGTCTAACTCTTCAAAAACTAGCTCATGAGGGAAGGTTTGTCCAAATCCATATGAGGAAACCAATTTTTCAATTCTCTATCGGTATGGGACTTCTTAACACTCACCGCACGCCCACGCCTGAGGAGGAACACTTATTTTTTGGTCGTTGACAAGTAACAACAAAGAAAATATTATCTCTCAAATATTTATATATAACACAGAGTCATTTTTCTTCATTCTTACGTCTCGATCAACCAAATACACATTGAAAGCTTTAGCACCCCACGAGTCTCCTACGTTTAACAATTAATTACATACATAGAAAACAGACATAAGGTACAAAAAAACACTTAATTCACTATGTTGGGGTAGTTGTGCTTCATTAATTACAACAAACTTTTTTTTTACCTTTGTAGTACTACTTCAACTAGCTAGCTCAAAAGGTTATAATCATGAATTTCATGTAAACTCTATTTTTAAAAAGAAAATATATACTAAAGCTAGTTGCTGATTCAAGATTTGAATTCTACGAGTCTGAGTACGAGATTATCCATACTTTTTTAGTGGATTTTTTATTCATATATATATATATAGTATTCAAGCTAAAGCTATTGGGGTTCGATCCAACCATTACTTGTTTTAAACATCATGTTGAAGACAAAATTGTTTATGATAGTTTTACTAGTATTCATCTTATTTTATGTCCAATTTTGTACTTCCAATGATACAATTTCCTTTAACAAATCTCTAAAAGATGGAGATTTGTTAGTTTCTTCTGGAAAATTATTTGCTCTTGGTTTCTTCAGCCCTGGAAATTATTCCAACAATCGATACGTCGGAATTTGGTACTATAACATCCCTGAACTAACTGTCGTTTGGGTCGCTAATAGAGAGAACCCTGTAAATGGCACGTACGGGGTTCTCTCTATCGACCCAACAGGTAGTCTTGTAATACTAAATCGAAATACCAAAATATTCGCCTGGAAAACCAATATTTCCTCTGCTCAGCTATTGGATTCAGGGAATTTCGTGTTTTTTCGTGACATGAAAAAGGAAGTTATTGTATGGCAAAGCTTTGATCATCCTACAAATACTATACTTCCTGATATGAAATTTGGTATTGACAAGAAAACCGGTTTGAACCGGTCTCTAACGTCGTGGAAATCGATGAATGATCCTGGTTCAGGGGAGTATGTATACAAGATTGAGATAAATGGAATAGTACCTCAAGTTTTCCTGTATAAAAATTCTAACAGGATATGGCGAACCGGACCCTGGACCGGTCTAGGTTGGAGTGGTGTACCTGGAATGAGGCCTGGATTTATATTTAACAGCAAATATGTTGACAATGAAAGTGAAGTCTCTGTGCTATTCACTATGAAGGATCCTGTTATCTCGAGATTAGTACTGAACGAATCGGGGGTGATGAGTATATTGAACTGGCAAGAAGGCGCGAAGAAATGGGTACAATTTTGGTCCGCGCCTGAGGACTCGTGTGATGACTATGTACATTGTGGAAAATTTAGTAATTGCAACTTGTACAACTTGGGTGAATTTGAATGCAAGTGTCTTATTGGGTACGAGCCATGGGAAAACCGGTCATGGTACTTGAGAGACGGTTCACAAGGGTGTTTGAGGAAGGAGGACGAGAACGTGTGCAGAAATGGCGAGGGGTTTGCTAAATTGAGTAATGTGAAGGTCCCAGACACTTACAACGCGCGATTGAATAGGAGTATCGGGTTGCAGGAATGTGAGAAATTGTGTTTGAATAATTGTTCTTGCTCTGCTTATGCAAGTGCTAATGTTAGTATTGGGGGAATTGGATGCATCACTTGGTATGGTGAGTTGATAGACACAAGAGAATTTACAGATGGAGGACAAGATTTGTATATCAGAGTATCTGCATCTACTTTGGGTAAAATTTATATTGAGTTAATAGCGTGTGATCATCTTGTCTAAGAAGTACTTAACCGGTTAGAAAGATTAATACTTTTATTTACTTAATTATGTTCTTGTATCTCCCTGAGCCGAGGGTCTATCAAAAACAATCTTACTACCCTCACAAGGTAGAGATAAGGTCCACGTACACTCTGCCCCTTAGATCCCACCTGTGGGATTATACGGGGTGCTTTTTCTTTTGTTGTTGTTGTAATACGTCCTTTTGTGTGTGGGAATGACTATTGTCTGCTCTGGTACTAAGTTGAATTGTTTTAACATTTTGTTTAAGAGCTTAAGTACATAATAGTGTAAGTTTGCTCTAACAGGTTAAGTTTTTAGATAAGATGGTCACACACGTCAACCAGTTGTTAATGTTTTACGGTATTGTGTTACAAAAAGTTTTACATTTTTGTTCTTTCAGCTCAATTCTCGAAGAACAACAATGGTTATCACATGAAAAGAACCATAGCAATTGTGACAATCTGCATTGGTGCAATACTCATCGCGCTCTCGTTTGCTTGTTGTTTGGTAATAAGGAAAAGGAGAAGAGGTAAAGGGTACCCCTTAATTTCTTCGTGTGTTTACTACTTTATTGAATCCCCTTAGTGAAATCTTGGCTCCGCGACTTACAATAGTGAGTTACTTCATGTACAGATAAGGAGGACCAATTCACCAGTTTGAACACTTTGACAAGGAATTTAGCATCCTATGAGAACTCTTCAAGAGGTAATGAGATGGATGGAAGTGAACACGTCGATGTGTTAATCTTCGATCTAAGCACTATCATTTCTTCCACTGATGATTTCTCTGATGCTAACAAACTCGGAGAAGGAGGCTTTGGTAGCGTTTACAAGGTACCTCCCGATATTTTACCAATTTCTTACTCATTTGTTGAGCCAATTTTACTTGACAACAAGCTTACATTTTGATTTCAGGGCCAGCTAAACAATGGGCAAGAGATAGCGGTCAAAAGACTTTCGAAAAATTCAGGGCAAGGAGTGGAGGAATTCAAGAATGAAGTAACGTTAATCGCGAGAGTACAACACAGGAATCTTGTGAGGCTTTTAGGATGTTGCATACAAAGAGGAGAGAAAATGTTGATCTATGAATACTTGCCAAACAAAGGCTTGGACAGTTTCATCTTTGGTATATACATTTGCATATTGTGTTAAAATTTTAAAAAATAGGCATGTTACTGATGGATTGCTTATGTATGAATTTCGAATCGGTATTGCAGATAAAACTAAAGGGTCGCAGTTAGATTGGAGAAAACGATTTGAAATCATCGTTGGAATAGCACGAGGATTATCATACCTTCACCACGACTCACGAGTAAGAATCATACACAGGGATCTAAAAGCCAGCAATGTTTTACTAGATGCCTCAATGCACCCGAAAATATCAGATTTCGGAACTGCTAGGATATTTGGTGGTGACCAAATTGAAGCTAACACGAATCGAGTCGTTGGAACATAGTAAGCATCACTTTTATGTATGAACATATGTGTATTTTTCTCAAAGGCACTTAAACTTGTATAAAGTTGAACAAGTAGACACACTCGTCCTACATGATGATTCGCATAAGATACACTCGAACTGATTTGTATTATGCCATGTAAGACGCATATTATGTCATGTAGAACATGTGTGTCTACTTGTTCACACCTCATAGATGTCAGTTGAGGCTAAGTTAAATGACACGACGTTTATGTATTATGTCATATTAAAATTGTGGATGTTGACATAGCTATTGGTTCATTTCAGTGGTTATATGTCACCAGAATATGCAATGGAAGGGCATTTTTCAGTGAAATCTGATGTTTTCAGTTTTGGTGTTCTGTTGTTGGAGATCATTACTGGCAGGAAGAACACTACACATTATCAGGATCATTCATTAAATTTAGTTGGAAATGTAAGACATCTCTTCATCAAGAACTCACCTTTAGTTAAGAAGATGTATCTTGTTTTGCTCTAGCCCTTATACCATTGCTCTAGGGAAGGATATGTGGAAATGTTCATCTCTTCTTTTTTTTCTTATACGGTGGAGTCAGGGCTAGCTTCTGCATACTTTGACTATTACAATGTACCTGCTACCCTCCACCAACATAGGGATGGAAACAATGGCGGGAGCTACATGCATTGGAAGGGTATTCAAATTGAATCCCCTTCTTTAGGAAGCTATGATAGAAACTATTGGGTGTGTCTGAACAAAGTCCCACATGAAAAGTAAAAAAAAACTACTTTAAGATGTCGGATAATCTTAATGTTATGAAGTCTTCTGGAAAAAAACTATGCGGGTTTGGTCCAAGGGAACAATATCATGCCATGTTCAGAGTATCTTATTGGATTATTTTAGCCTAACAACTGATATCAGAGCCAGTGGTTTGGCAGGACAATTATTGAGATGGTAGAGTGATGGAGTGGGGTCCGACTTGGTGCCTTTGACCATCTATGGGCCGATTTACTATCTTTACCTGTAGCCTTAGAGATGCTTACACAAAAAGAAGCTAGTGGCCGTTCGTGACCATAAATACTCTATTGATATGGTGGCACGCAGTGGAATCTCCAGATAAGCCTATAAAGTGATAGGTCATGTGGAACTCAATTTAAGGAGAAGACTGTTGAGTGTACGTAAACAAAGTCTCACATGAAAAAATAAAAAAAATATAACTTATAAGGTATTGGATACTCTTAATATTGTGAGGCCTTTTGAGAAAACCGTTGGGGTTTTGTCCGCAAACTGACAATATCACATCATGTTAAAAGTATCTTTGAGTTATTTTAGCCCAATAGAAACACATTCTTTCGTCAAACATATATGAAATTTTGGACCCCCTTAACCCCATACACGACATTTTTGTATTTTCCTTGAATCCCCTAATTGAAAATTTTGATTCCGCCACTGACCAGAAATGTTAACTTTGCTCTCCCTTTTTTCAGGTATGGGATTCATGGAATGATGACAAAGCTATAGATGTTGTTGATCCCTCATTAGGGGATTGGTATGAAAGTAGTGAAGTTTTGAGATGCATCCAAATTGGACTATTATGTGTACAATCATATGCAAATGAAAGACCAATGATGTCTCAAGTTGTCTTCATGCTTTGCAATGAAACAAAATTGTCTAATCCTGGACAACCTGGTTTTGTGTTCAGATCAAGAAATTCTTCTTCACTTCCTTATTCATCATCAGCTAGTATTGGAAATTCTGTAAATGACATTTCTATTACTGCACAACATGCTCGCTAAGTGTGTGTCAGATCCTTCAAAAGTAGTACCATATATTTTTGTGGATCTGACATGGGTTCATCAACATTTTTGAAGAGCACTGAGCCATATGGTCATTAGGTAATTTATACTTGATCTATTTATTGATTTAGTTTAAGATTTTTTACATTTATCAATGATGTATTTTAACGTGTTATAACAGGTAACGTATCTTTTTTTTTTTGGTTAATTACTAATCCTACTTTTTATTAATAATTAGTTATTATTAATGACTTAATAATGTGTGTCGGATCTTTCAAAAGTAGTACCATACATTTTTGTGGATCTGACATGGGTGCATGTTAACGTTTTTGAAGAGCGCTGAGCCATATGATCATTAGGTAATTTATACTTGATCTATTTATTGATTTAGTTTAAGAATTTTTACATTATCAGTGTATTTTAATATGTTATACCAGGTATCGTATCTTTTCTTAGTCATACTTTTTTATGAATAATTACTTATAATTAATGACTTAATAATGTAAATATTCTTTTATATTGTAAGTATATATTAAGTAATTATTACCTAACATATTTCCTATGAATAAAAAGGTTTACTATGACACCTATCAACCAATCAAATTCAAATGTCACATAAAGATCATAAAAAAGTGATAGCAAGAGATGCTAATAATCAATAAAAGTTTTCAACTGTTTTTGTTTTCTTCCATACCTAGTGACTTGTTTGGTATGTACTTATTTTGGTTCACTTCAATTGATCAATAACCACTTGTTTTCCTTTCACTTTTTCCGTTGACTTCCTTTTCTCCACTTAGGTAGTTTGTTCGGTATCCACATTGAGGTATAATTAAATTTGAAATTCATTTAGGAATTTAACTAAATTCAGATCCAAGCATTGTAGGGCCCAATTTTGAGAATGGTGCTTTCAACAAGATTTTTTTAATTCTCAAAGACTCAAAGTTGAGACCTCTGATTAAAAGTGGAGGAATTTTAATCATTCAATCACAATCCATATCGATAATATTGCGATGTTTATTCCTTATTCTTATCCACAAGATCACTTAATTAGTTAAAATAACTTTGTTTGATCAATTAATTATACATAATTTCTTAAGCTTCGCCTCGTTCGTGTTTATATGATCAAGATGAGGTAGGGTAAGTGGAAGGTACATGTTCAACAGAATCCAATAATAACATCAATCTAAACTTTGTATTTGACTTAATTAAGATATTCATTTAATATGTACACAGATCGAAACTCATTGATTTCAAATTCTGAATCTGCCTCGAAGTCTATCTGAATGTTCTTCCCAATGTTGGTGTCCAAAATTCCATAGTAGTCTCAGCTGCTAATGGGAAAGTACTTGATATTGGTACTAAACATAGTCCTTTGCTCCTTAATCCTTGTTTTAATCCTTCTTGTAATTCCTTAACCTATCATAGTTTAATTTAAAAAAATGAGAGTTCAACAATCTATAGTCTCAAACACAATATAAAAAATATTAATATAATCACATCATTTAAAAAGTAATTTCATTTGTAATAAATATATCGTAACATGCTATAACATGGTGATATAAAAATAACAGGACGTACGTTCAAAAAAATTATTTGTATAAAAAAGAATTATATTGATCCCCTACCTGTTGATGTTGAGTGGGTGGTCCATTTTTCATATATCGATTGCTAAATACCTGAAAAAATCAAATATTAATTCATCATATTTAATTTTTATAGGTAAGTTTTATATTAATTTTGTGGAGTTGTAATTAAAAAAAAAACATACATTGACTTGACCATGAAGAAAATTGATGTATTCGATTGCTTCTTGGAGAACCGAAGCTGTATCAGTCTGAGACAATAAATTGTGAATTCAATTAGTAAAACTATAAAAAGATTTATTAAAATCTTGAAGAATTAATAAATTGATATCGTTAAAGAAAGTGACTTTCTGAAATAATAACTATTTCGATTTGTTTCTCTTTACATATGATCCTTATTAAAAAATGGTGTTTCTTAATATTTGACATTACACCAAAATCAATACATAAATGTCATTATTCTTTCTATTTTACCCTTAAGAAAGTATGTATTTGACCAACATGAGAAAACTAAGTAAGTAATGAATTTATGTTCACTGCCACTGGTCAAATTAATTAATCAAAATAAATTAATTTATAATTATTTATTAAAAAATTGACTTCAAGAAAGCACTAAATAATGATATAATAGTAAACTTATCTAGTTTTTTAAGGGGTGAAACCTAAAATAATGACAACTAATAACTAAATAGAAACGGAGGGGTATTAATTTAGTGGGCATCTAAAAATTAAAGTTTTTTTTATACACTAAGAAAAGCATGATATTTTAATATGATTTAACCAACTGATTTACATATAAAAATAATATAAATCAAAGTATAAAAACTATCGAGAAAAAATCTTTTCCTAATCAAAACTCTCTAAAATAATTTTAAAAAAGTAATTTAAAAAAAAAGTATTTACCTTTCCAAAAGGTGAAACCAATTGCTGGAGGGCAGTTATTCGGTCACCCATTTTCTCTTTTCTCACCTAATAATAAAAAAATTAATAAACAAAGCTCAAAATTCATTTTATATGACATTATTTTCTTAATTCATTCAGAAAAGAATATCCCAATATAATTCTTTTATAGACATATAAAAATTATGAAATATATAAAATTAGAAATCATCTTTTTATGTTGGAATCAATGGTGGAGCTAGATTTTTTTTCATTAAAAGGATTTAGAATATAAAAAGGTATAAACACAGAGAAGTCAAGAGAATTGAACATTTAGTATATATATAAATAAAAAATAATTTTCATTTTGTATATATGTATATACAATTTTTAAAATAAAAGTGTAATTAATTTAATTGGCAGTGAAGAGGGTTTAGATTAACCCTTAATGCTCCTCTAGCTCCACGCTCGTTTAAGACCATAAGTTTCATGATTTTATAGTTACACAATCAAGTTATGATATATTTAAGGTTACAAATTTTGAGCTTCTTTAAAAATATCACACCAAGCCAGTTAAACTATATCGTATAAATTAAAACGAATGAATTATATTTGCATACCTTAAAAGTTGGCAAAGGTGATGGTGTCTCAATTCTCTGCCGTTTGAATGTTTGTTCATTTGTGTTATTTTTGGTAATTGAGCTTAATTTGGACTCTCCAATTATTTCAATATCAGACTGAAAAAAATTGTACCAATAGATTAAAATAAAATAAAAGGAAAAATCCTAAATATGTTATTGAATTTTGAAAAAAAAAGAGGCTTATTTATGTCTGCATTTAAAAGTTTGACTCGTCTATGTTATTTTTGTTTGAGAATAGGCTCATCCAATATGCCATTATGAGTTAACTGAAAACTAATTTATCCATGTGGCAAACGATGATTTGATCACATCATCAAAGTTCGATGACATATTTAAATCCATCAAAAAGTATATATATGTGATGCACTTACCTTAGGCAAAGAAGGTACAAAATCATTCATTTTTTGTCTATCATTTATGGATGATGATGGATAATTGAATGGCTGTTCTTCATGAAGATCAGTACTAGCAAACAATGTTTGAAGCAAATCTGAATAGTAATTAGTGAAATCTTGATTCATAATTGGTTTAATTAAGGAATTATCTTCACTAATTATGCTGCAAATGTTCCTCTTCAATTCATTATGATGAGGACAATTCTGTCTTGAATTGAGATTTTCTTGTAGCATGGAATCATTGCTGCAAAATTCCAAGGAAAAAAAAGGATGGAATATATAAGAAAACTTTACCAATAATATACTCACTACTATACGTTGTTATTGTATTAAAAATAGACGTACATTTTTATTTGTTCAAATTGGAAAATTAAGAAATACGCAATGAAAAAGGAAACTATTCTCTCTCGTTCCATTTTAAGTGGTCTTGTTTGACTAGGTACGAGTTTAAAGAAAGAACCAAAGACTTTTGAAATAAGTGATTAAAATAAGTCATAAATATTTGTGAAACTGTATATAAATGATCTCATTAATGATAAAATGAGAATTTCAAAGTCAAATTATACTTAAATATAGAAAAGTTATTCTTTTTTGAAAAAGTCAAAATGAAAAATGTGTCATGTAAATTAGAACAGGTTAGTGATAACTTCTAAACTACCATTAATCCACCCCCAATTTAATTTTAAATTTTCATTTTTTGTCCTTAATAATAAGATGATTTAGACTAATACAACTATCTATTGCTTAATTTTATAGACCACAAGCTTCAAAACTCGTTATGTCTTTCTTAAACCTCGAACTCAATCAAACACTGACACATAAATCGAGATGAAGAGAATAACCCAAAAATTGATGAAAAACAGGATTTACTTACAGTGAGTGATTCCAATCTGGTGAAGAAGAATTTCCATTAATACCCAAGTTATGATTTTTGGGTAATTCTTGAAAAACCATAGAGTCATCAGAACTAGAATAATAATCATCATTATTGGACCTATTTTTCATGTCCAAAAATTGATCATCATTTGGCCATGCAAAATTATATTGTCCAATAATTGGATCAAGAATTGAAGATCCACAATTAGTTGATGATGATAAACTAAAAATATTTTTTGTTGAATTAATCCACAAGCTTTCTCCATAGACTCCATCTTGAAAAAATTCATCAGCCATAATTAATCAACTTTATAATTGCTATTAATACCTTCTCTATTCTTCTTGAAAATTTCTAAGATTCTTTTTGGTTTGATTTGGTTTTACTTGAAATTCTCAAGTCATAGTTGTATTTATACACACATATAGATATATGTTTGAGGTGGGGTGGGTGGGTGAGTGATGGGAGGGGGTGGGGGAAAGTATTGGAATTTGGTTGACATTATTCAAAGAAAAATGATTAGACAAAGCAATTAAAGGAGTTAGGAGATAAGCATATTTAATTATGCTAAATAAAAATTAAAAGGTATTTTGGATTGAATTCTCTTACTATTATTTTATATTATTATTGTTTGACCTGTTATTTTAGATATGTATGTACCCTTTGTTCTTCTTTTTTCTAGTTAAGTGTTATTGTAACAGCCCAGTCTGCTAGTGATATTATCATCTTTAGTTCTAGGCATGTACCGTCTTAAAATGTGTTACTAATGTGTAAGACTTTCTTATTTATATATCCGATATCTCTTT